ACAATGATAATATTATTAACGGACGGGACGTCTAGTCCTGAAAGCGGGACATTAAAAAAAAATTAAATTCCGATGAAGCGTGGTTTAATGAAAACGAATAATGAACCCAAAAGAGGGGCCATAGCTTGAGAATTATAGTCCCGACTTTGTATTTCTGCTTAATAAGTGGTGGTGTTCGTACGCGAGAGTGTTTACTACAAAGATGGATTGGATTTTTTTACGTGGTTTGGTAAAGATTAGTACAAATTCATAATGGCGTTAAATATAAATGACACATTTAGTTCACATAAAGTACTACAAAGTGCTGCTGATTTATTAGAGAAAGAAAACAGGGTGTAATTCTGAAACCGGGGTGCAAAAACAATAACTTCCCTAAAGTACCATGCCCCTACATGAAATGCTGAAAATTTTGTTTCTTTTGGGTACCCTTTCATTATACATTGTTTAGGCAGAAATATCTCTGATAATTTTTGTTAAGTACAAGTTTTGTGATCTGCGTTGCATAATAAATAAAAACGTCATTATGTATATTTGTTCTAATTATTTTGTGTATAGATTCCTTGTTTTCAGTAAATCATAAGATAATCACACAAGGTCGTGATTATAATTTTCTAACAGAGATCCCGCATTTGGAACTCTAGACATCCTATAATTTAATATCTACCATATAATAACAAAAAGGTTTAATGTTTACTTCAAGTTTTTCATGTATTTTCATGACTTCATTATAGAAAACAGTTCGAAAAGAATTGGCGTCATACAATGATTTATTACTCTTTGCCAATAAGAAACAGACTATAGGTCAGTGTCCTTGTGGAACATATTATATTTGTTCTCTCCTAGAATTAATTCTAATACTTTGTTGGAAGTTACTGTATAATTTACTATACTTTTTATTATTGATGTTTTGAGGAGTCTATAGCGACTTATTGTAAACTCGGCGTTGCCACTCCCTGGACAATCTGTATCAGTTGCTTTATATTATACAGTGTGTCTGTAAAGTATGGAATAAATTCATTATTTCTTAAATCAAAAATATTTAGAAAGAATCCTGGGACAAGTCGCTTTTCAATTTCAATTGCGCACCTTATTCTTTATTATATTTTTCTATAACATCATCACTGTTTCCGTTATGACGTCATCGATTTTTTTTAAATTGAACATCCTATATATTTCTTCATTTTTGGATTCTGAATCAACAGCTGATTCCGAAAATGTATCACACTTAGGGTCTAAAATGGAAAAGTTGAAAGATACGGCCATTTTGATTATAAGAATTTACTAATTTTTTGTTTGAACAAATAATAGTTACTAGAACTAACAGTTAGTTAATAATAAAAACAATTTATAGTAAATGTTCGAACTGTACTCCTTATTGTAGCTGACAATACCCTAAACGATAAAAGTGTTGCTGAACCTTGTTTACAGTTTTCTGAGAAATGTTGTTTCTTTCTGTTCTAATTCTCTTTTAATTCAACAATGTTTTCTGGTTTGGTTTTATAAAATAAGTTTTTTAGATGGCTCCACCAAAAAATAATCTAATGAATTGAAGTCTGGTGACTTTGGTGGCCATTCGATGGGTCCACGTCTACCAATCCACCTGTTCAGAAATATTTGGTCGACACCTTCGAGCGTCTGCTGCATAATAGAGAGGCGCATCATTCTGTTGATACCACAGGCTTTCCTCAACATTTCCGGGATTAATTCTACTGGGGAATAAATTTAATTACGTTAGGATGAGATAGCCCATTAAAAATTGGAGACATGCCGGTCCGTTTACAGTTCCAACGAAAAAATAGGGTCCCAATGATTCTATTTTCCCGCCCACACATTTATCTTTTGTGGATACTGTGTGTGCTGTTTCCGCATCCATCGAGGGATTTCTCTTGCCCAGTATCTAAAATTCTGACGATTCACTTCACCATTTCATTTGAAAGTGCATTCATCAGAGAAAGTAATACCAAATTGTAACCTCTGATCTGGATCATCATCACTTAGTTTTTGCACAAGCTGAATCTTAAAGGGATGCCATTTTCCTAATTTAATACTGTGTGTACTGAAGTTTTAGTAACATCCTAATCGCGACTAACCTGGCGAAAGCTGGTATCTGGATTTTCTTCAACAGCCAGTAAAATATTTAATTTTGTATCCTTGTCAACACCTGGGCGACTTGTTTTGGGTAAATCTTCGACCTTACCAGTGTCTAAATTTTTTTTTTAATTTTACTTACTGTCGATTGAGTTATGGGTAATTCTGGATATTTAGTAGTAAATAAATTGCCCACTTCTTGTTGAGTTCGCATCCTATCATCATACACAATCATCATAAGAATTTCAATTCTCTGCTTGACAAATACACTCATGTTATAAATTAAAATAAATCGACAACAATTATTGAGAAACCACTACTGGGGTAAAGTATTATTAAGTGATTCACTGTCAAAGACGATAGTGACAAAACAAAAAACATACTACCTCAAAAATTAATAAAAAATGGATTTTTTACTTTTTTTATTTGTTTTTTTTTTAAATGGCCGTATCTTCCGACTTATCAATTTTAAACACAAAATGTGATACATATTTGGAATCAGCTGTTGAAGCAGAATATAAAAATGGAAAAATATACGGGGTGCTCCATTTAAAAAAATATCGATAACGTCATAACGGACAGTGATGACGTCATAACCAAAAAAATTAAAGGAATAGGTGTGCAATTGAAATTAAAAATCGACGTTTTCGAGGATTTTTTCTAAATATTTTCGGTTTAAGAAATAATGAATTTATTCCAATATTAAGGAACTGTAAATAGAAGAGATTTCTACAACAATTTCGGCTATTGCCGGTACTACAAAAATCGACTATCTCCCAGTATCCAGATATAGTTTTTAAACCTAGATGTGATGTGCGTTAATAAAGCGCATAAATGAAAAGCTTGATGTCGTCCTCTGAATGCCTTAAAGCGGATTCAGATATATGTGATTCTTTGCGATATTTCCAGGGGTAACACTCGCCAAATCTCGCAGTGACTATTGAGTTCACATATATACAATTCATGCGATATATCGCGGCAACATGAAAATTGCTATTTCGTGTGGTGTCACATCAAATAGAACATGTTCTTATTTTCGTGCGATTTCACAAGCGATTCTAGTTACATTTTGGTACCTAACATTCAGTGTTTTAATTTACAAATTTGGTATCTTTGAATAGTTGTAGATTATTTAACTTATAAAATATTTGCTTCTTGTGACAACCAGTGATATGTTATATTCATGATCTGGGGTAACAACCATGGGCACCGTCAAAGGGGAGCAGGAGCGACGGCACCCCTATCTTTGGGCAATAAATAAATCTTTTTCATTAATATATGGAGGTAGGGTCCTATAATGACAACCAATCAATTACAATGCTAAATATATATATATATATATATATATATATATATATATATATATATATATATATATATATATATATATATATATATATATATATATATATATATATATATATATATATATATATATATATATATATATATATATATATATATATATATATATATATATATATATATATATATATATATATATATATATATATATATATATATATATATATATATATATATATATATTTTAATTTACTATTTATATTCAAATAAATTTTATAGCAATTTTTCAGACATCCATATGTACCTACAATAAAATTCTACATTTAAGTAACAATTCGCTACCTTCGATTTACGTTTACGGCCACTGTCTCTGTTGAATACAGTCTAGTAGCCTATGTGAATAACATGTAGATACGTAAACAGTGCGAAATTACAGACAACGGAGGTTACCTTTTTTTAAATATTTTGTTCAATTCCTTCAGAGAATAAAGTGAAACTAGTGGAATAGTGTTTGTACATTAACAGTACAAAATTATATTGCACAAGATGTAAAAAAGTGCTTCCGTGCAACAATAACACAAACATTATTTGACACATATCCTCAGTACACAAAAATGTGTAAATGATAATATTACAGATAATTTACTACTTAAGACAATTTCTGCAAAAGTGTAGCGCATTCGTGGGCAGTAAAGCAATGTTCAGATGCCATCGGAAGCGACACTAAAAAGAAAATATTTATCAGAGATGTATTAAACAATAAATTTATTCTGATCTGAATGATAAACACATCTAGATTACGGTGAATGGAACCAACACTGCTTGCGGCTGGAAGGTGGCAAATATTTCAATGGGTGCAATATTAGTAATCTTTTATTCTTGTGAGCGCTAGGTAACAATATGTCCATGTATGTGTCATGCACCAATGCAAACTTTCAACCTTCTTCATATTAACTTTGGATGTCACCAAACTCGCCAAAATAACCACAAGGTAAGATATTGTCATATGTGCATGAACATATTTACGCGGTGACACATCGTCTAACGTTAACCGTGGAATTAACGTCATTCATCGCTACCTCCCGATCTCTATATGATGCAATAAAAAATGGGGCGGAAATTCGTTTCTAACAAATTGTTACTTATTTCTTGCATTTTACTAGATATATTCTTTTTTTTTATTTCATATTTGAATAAATAAGGACTACCTTCCACCGCAGATGTGGCACTTTGTGATAAAGGCTTTTCGCTGTCGGGCATTTTTTCTCATACCCTGCACTTCTCATTTTTCAAACAATTTACATAAATTCGTTTTGTTGTAAATTTACTTTATATCCATACATATTTGTTTCAATTTTATATAATACATTTTTGGATTTGACTTTTTATTCTACAAAAAGAAAATAATTTTTTAATATTCACTGTGAAGAAACGTTCAGACGCATTTCTAACAAATTTTGATCCCCCCACCTGGTAATTTTGGAGGCGCCGCCCATGGTGACTTTTGTAAAGTAGTTGTTTTGTACCACAATATCTAACAATAAAATGAAATTAGTTACTACACAAAATATAAGTAACTAACATTATGCATGTAAACGATTTGCATTGGCTTCCTTGTCGAGTGGTAAAGACAATTGCCTTTCACACTGGAGTCCCGGGTTCGATCTCCGGTCTAGGAGCTAGGATTTTTTCTAAACTAGAAATTAATGCCAGCATACTCGAATGTACATTGGGTGTGTGTGTCCATTGTCTCTAAACGTGCAACCTTTTTCCACACAAGGTATATACCTTGGTTGCACGTTTAGGTATATACCTTCAGGGATACAGGAGATTGTATTACCTGTGGTGTTTAATTTTAATGTATTTTACCTCGTGTACGAGGCAAAATAGGTGGCTTTCACAATAAAATCCGTGCTAAAGCCGGTCCTGCATAATCGACTAGTAAATTATCAGCGCCCATCGTATAGCTTGAAATGTTTTTGTTAATTCAGCAGGTAATGTGTGAAAAAAAAATAAAGTGCATAAATTGAAAATATATTTACAATTTTCACAAATTACAACAACACATACATTTTGTACTTAAAACTATAAAAACAATAACAGGCAAGATACAAACAGCCTAGCATTTAAATTGACCTTTTTTACACCAACTCACAAGCAACAAACAATTTTATATACAATATTAGGCTATCTTTATAATATTCAGCTAAATATAACGTTTTGGCACAGTATTTTATCTAATACTGTATATGAAAAATTTAACATACAAAATGCTTGATTCAAATGGATAATAAAGCAATAATTAAATTAATTTTGAATCAAAATAAAATAATAATTATATACAAGCCTAAACTATCGATTTATCACAAATTTAATTGCTTCAAATTGGAATTATTTTAGAATCACAATACATTTAAAGAAGCAAAATAAAAGTTAATAACAAATAAATGCGCCATTACAATAAACCTGCTTTTTTCACAAGAAATTTCATTTCTGTCTTTTTCAAAGAAAATCTACTCTATTATAAAACTCTATCTATAAAGAAAATTAGAAGCTTTTGCTTTTACAACACTTTTGCTAATGAAATAAATAAAATGCACAACTATTGCACATTTGATTGAATCAGTCTGGGTTTCCATTGATGTTTCTGTGTGGTTAAGGCACGGCTGGCAATTTTCAAACATGAGATTCGAGAGGGACTTTAAATACCGTCGATTCCGGAAAACTCTGGGGCCTAGCACCAATCAAATGTTGCCTCAGCGCTACTACCATATTCTCTGGCCCAATTAGGTTAATTTCGAAGAAAAAACGGTCCCTCCTCGTCGAACTCAAATCTGGTGAACTTGTCCTCAAGTTCTTCTCCTTTCCATTTTCTGTATCGACATTATTTTCCTCTTGATTTTTTATTATCCATTACCCAAGTTACTTTGTCGGGATCTTTAGTACCCCCGACAGTGTGTCTCCTTTTTATCGAGCGATCAGGCATTCCGTTTTTCCTTTTATTCTTGGTGGAATCTTTACCTCTTTTGTTGGAACTTGAAATTTCCCTCCTCTTATTTATATTGCTCTCTGTTTTCTCAGTTTTCGTCAAACTGTCCGACCTTTTTAACCTGTCTCCGGTTTTGTTCAAACTTTCTGAACGTTTCAATTTGCTGTTCAAAGGAGAAACAGTTCGTTCGGGTTTATTTAAAGATTCCGAACGTTTTAACTTGGAGCCTGTTGCATTTTGATTTAATTTGTTAGTGTTAGAAATTAGTGTTAACTTATTATGTGTTGCAATGTGCCTATCATTATCAGGTACGTTTTCCAAAGCCATCGTGTCTTCTTCCTTTTTCCTTGTCCTTTTTGGATTCCTTATATAACATGTCTTCCCTTTTGTATAATTTTGATGAGGTACTAAATTGGCTCTTATGCAAACTAGGGTTTCTGTACAAATCACTAGCCCTTGGTATATTTTCCTTATCAGAGTATAAATTTTTAATAGGGTGTTTTTCTGGTGATTCATCCGCAAATGGGATATCCTCACCAGCCATGAGGGTTGGTTGAGAATGTTCTTCTTTCAGTTTTTCATCAATGAGCTTTGTCATTGTACTCAGTAAAGATTCTGAAACGAAAAAAATGGAATTAGTAGTGCACAATTAAATATAGGACATTGAAATATAAAATTTCGTTTGATTAATTTCATAATATTTGGACTTTTTTTAATTTTGATTCTGTTAAAAGATCAGATATTTTCTTATCAGGAACTGTGATTTGAGGATTTTACTTTTTGCGGCAGTGACGATTTAGTCTAGCCTTTAATTTGACTGATACATGACACTACTTATCTGAATGTATCGATAACAAAATTGATGAAAGTCTAAAATCTTGTAAATTAGATATATTTCTTCCATAAATTTTAACTTGAAAAGCAATTACAAGATATATAGGATTTTTTTCATTCAAAAACATCACTTTCGATTATTTAGATACGCAGAGAGTGAGGTCTCATTAAAAATGGAGGTTCCAGATGAGAATCTAAATACGGAAACAGATAATCAACTGAAATTTAATTAAAACTATGGCACATTGAACATTTGAACGTAGATATTCGAAAAATTGTTCAAGCTAAAATTGAATTTTTTTCAATACCTTTTGGAAGTGCTGTATAAGTATATTGATTATTTTAGAAAAAAAATCTGAAAAGTTTATTTCATTTAATGAGAAATAATTAAATGTGTCATTTCCATCTAAACCGGTAGCAAGTAGTTATTGTAACATGTATCGAATCCCATTAAACAAAACATGTTTTGAAAATTTTGGTTTTTCGATCACTAGCCATCCCGCTGCAATTCACTTCAACTAAAGCAACCTTAAGAATTATAAAAATAATCAAATCTTAATGGAAATAATTTCAGGGGTCTAATGTTTTATTTATGTGGCATTTATTTATTATAATTTAAGGGATGTTAAGATATATCATTATGTCATGGTCGACAATATTCTCATAACTCGTAAGTCAATATTCTCATACCCCGTAAGTGTTTCACACAAAACTTTCCAGGATACGTTGTATCCTATTATTTTCTTAATATCCACACAACTCTATTGATGGTATAGTGACTACTCTTATCTATTTACGAGGTATGGTCATATAATAGAGGCATATACGAGGTTTGGTTTGGTACCAAAAAGTCATTATTCAAAAAAAAATACTTACGAGGTTTGACAATTTTGTCGACGATGTGTAATTGTTTAATTTGCCAATGTATATGTCAAATACAGTACTGTGTCTTTGAAACATGACGCACAATTTTAGGAGCATGTTCGGCGCATAAAAATAAGTCAACAAGTTAAAATAAGCACATGTCCGAAAATGCTTCCTAACAGAGTCACGACCCCTTGGAATTCGGAAAGGGTACAATTTTCTCAGCATATTTTTTTCCCTTTGATTTTTTGACAGTTTGTTACCAATCTGGCAGATCTGGCAGGCACAATATTGGCCCATTTCGCCCTATTAGGAAACTGGTCATGTAAAAAATCTCCTATTCGGTAATGGGCAGCGCATCCATCGTTTTGGAATATTACTTGTGGTTTTACATTCAGGGGCACTTTATCCAAAATATCAGGTAGATTATTTGTCAAAAACTCTAAACAATTATCTCCATTTAAATTATCTGGCAAAAAATATGGACCCATTAAACTTCTGCCGATTACAACTGCCCACGCTCACTAAATTTACGTTGAAACAAAGTTTGTTTTTTTATAAGGGGTTCTCTTCTGTCTAATAATGCAGGTTGTGAAAGTTAGTAATCCCTTCACGAGAAGATTTATACAATTTTTTTTATAAAATTCTTTGTAAACAAGAACATCAATAATATAAAACTAGTTTGTGATTAGCGAGTCACTTCGCAAAACCGCACTCGATAAAAAAAGAGTTAACAGGTAGTGACGGAGTATCGAAAGGGCAAAGACAAGGAAATTTTTAAAGATATTTGAAAGCATGTTGTATTGGCACCTTTATTTTATTGATGGCTTATATAGTCGAAGTTCAATATTACAGCAATACATTTTTGGAATTTTCACTGGGTCCTAAATATTTCTTTCTCACATGTAAAATCTATCGATAAAATAAATATTTAAATTCATGAGGAAAAAGGTGCAAAGAGATAAAAACTTTGAATAATGTTTTATAAAAATTTATATGGGAAAAATCTCTGAATTAGGTGAAATTGGGAAAAATGGCAATATTTCAAAATCCGCATAATGGTATATATGGTTAGATAAGTTTCAAATCATCTCGCCCATCAGTTCCTTTCAACTATACATCGGTGAACCACCTTGTATATTGGGTATAATTCTGTACAAGTGTCGCGCTCCTATATAAACAGTATACGCTTTCTTGTCAATTAAATTAAATGCCAATGCTGATAAATTATATTTCGTATTGCCGTTCTCAAATTACAATTTACTTGTAGTAGCAATTTTTTGTGAGCTCTGATGCACGAAGTTTAAAGCAAAGTCGTTCCTCTCACTCCCGTCCACCCGGCCGCTCCAGATTCTCGTCATTACAATTTTTTCGTGCGCTCTGTGTGGACGTAGTGGTTCGTGTATAGTGTAAAAAATGATGGAAGTGCGTCGAAGCAAGAAAAGGAAATTAAAGCAATTATTGCAGGATCTCCTGGTGGATTCAAGTAAGTGTATTTAATATTAATAGGTACCTTTTTTGTTTTTTTTTTTTAAAAAGGATTAGGAAAGAAGACCGACATCGACATGGAAAACGGCCAGTGCATTAACTGTAGTATAGTACCCACTGGACTATCAAGTTTCTTGCACACATAAACATAAATTCCTATTGGAATGTTGTTTATTATATTCCCACTGGAATATTTTTTTATAGTTTTTCTACTGAATTCCTATAATTTTGACATGGCCGCAACAGATATGGAGTCCTTACTTATATATATATTCCCACTGGAATATCTTTTACTGCCCTTTCTCTTTCCTAAAGGATATATAATTAATTTTAGAGGATTGCATCATATGTTTCTGCAGTTCATACAAAGGCGCAGAGAGCTGACTTGAACACACGCATGCCTTTGTTTATTGTTTAAATACGGTTGTTTTGACTGAAATAGTTTATCGCTGCCAAGTTTGTCGCCGTATTAATAACAATTTGTCAGTATTTCGGCAGAATGAGTTT